TGTTAGGGAAGACGTATTTGATATGCAGAAGGCCAAGGGTTGCTGGCCACACTGCCTCCCATTCTGCCCGAGAGCAAAACAGCATCTTTCCCATTTACAATTAAAAATCAATAAAATATTTGCTACCTATCTACATGGCTGCCCTGAAATTTAAATTGGAGCAGAGTCATCTGACATTCCATCAGGAGAATTAAATTCTGCAACAGTCTCACTTGAATACTGAGCCGGCTTTGGCAGGGAGGGCAGGGTATAAATAAAATAAATAAATAAATATTTCTGTGGGTAAAAACGTTGAGAATGGGGAAAATTATTACATGGTAAAACTGGTCATATCCATGTTGCCTTTACTGGGACATGACAATCACCTTGTAACTTTGGGCTTTTCCACTTCCTCTGCAGTATCACAGGTTTTCATGGTTTGAAATCTTATGGACTACAAAGATGCTAAACTACTTTTAAAAACCCTTCTAATTCAACCCCCCCCCTTCCAATACAAGCCACTGGTTGGTATTCAATGAGACAGGATTGTGGAGTGACACTTTCATGCTCCAGACCACTGAGGCCCCCCCCCACAACCTTCTGTCACTGGACTCTCAGAAACAGTATAGGGGCAAAGTAGGGGTTTGAACTCTGGCAAAAGTTATTTTATCTGTTAAAGCCTTCCAGGCCCGTAGCCAGGATTTTTTAAATTCGGGGGGCCTTTAAATAAGTCAAGGGTAACCTGCACACACACCCCAAGGGAGCACCTGGGCTGGATGGGAAGTCGGGGGGGGCCCTTTGTGGGAAGTCAGGGGGCCAGGCCCTGAGATGCCCGTACAGGCCTGAAGCTTCCCCTCTGCTCTAATCAAGCTGATTGTACTTTTGCATCCTTCAGAAGCATTCTTCATAACACCCCTCCCACCTTCTGACTAGGATAAAAGGACTCAGGTCTACATTTCCACTCTACAGTATCTGACAAAGGGAGTTTTAACTCTCAAAAGTGTATACCCTGAAACACCTTTGGTCTCAAACCTAACTGTTCTACTGCAGAACAATGTGGCTACCCTCTGAAACTAACTTTTTCTGTGGCTCACAGGACTTCTAAATTCCCATTTTACAAACTAAAAATAGTCTGAAAGACAATGACTTTCATGAGGCCATCTATTATCATTGGTCACTCGTTTGAACCTTGGTCCAAGTCCAGAGCAGTCTAGTGGCTGATGCTATTTTTAACTAGCAAAATTAATATTTACAACACTCATGCACCTACGTTCTTTCATCAGGGGCCTACAGGGGGGGAAATGCAGCTAAAGAGAATTCACTTTAACCTCTGCAGAAAGACAATCCAAAGCGGCAATAAAAATAAAGATGCTTCCCACAAAGATTAGCTGCGTTTAGGGCAATGGCATTTCCTGCACCAAATACTGTTTAGTTTTTGGATACTCATCTGTTTCTGCCAACATATATAATATAGCTATCCAACTCAAAGATAAGTTTACACTCAAAACTGTACATGGTTTAGATTATGCAGCACAACTTTTCTCAAGCATGGAATGTCACCTCTTCCCATGACTCCAAACACCATTGGCAGAAAAGAATGAGGAAAGCGGTTCTTAACAAGCCTTTTTTATTAATCCTACAGTCACAATGGCTTTGATCTTTGTAGTAACTGTCAAGCACTGTCCTCTTTGTCACTCAATAGCTGTTTTGTACATTTCTGATGATGCATAAAATTGCACAATGCAACACAGTGATATTTCCTTCTACCATTATTGGGAGAAGAGCTTAAACTTACTTGCATTGGCTCCTTTTCCCCCAGGACTATAATCAAAAAATAATTATCCAGAACTCTATTATTTAAGTCCTCAAAATGGTATTTTAAATATCATAATTAAAAGTGTCAGATCAAAAACTGTTTTGACTCATGGAGAAAATCACGAAGGCACGAACAGTTTTAAACAAACAGATCACATATTTATAAATGACAATATGTCATATTTTATTTTGTTGCGGTGTTCACAACACTGTATACACATTATTTTGTAATCCTTACAACAACCCTTTAAGGTAGACCAACATTATTGAAAATCATAAAAATGGTTTCCCTAAAGTCACCCAGGGAATCTGTAGCAAAAATGAAATTTAGCCTCCAGACTAAATTTCTCTCAGCTACTATACTCTACCACTTCCCTATGAGCTACAAAGACAGGTTGCTTACCTGTAACTGGTGATCTTCGAGTGGTCATCTGTGCATTCACACCCTTGGGATATACTGCGCCTGCGCTGACCTTCTCGGTACCGGTAGCTAGCAAAAGGGATTTTCGCGCCTCTCCCAGGTCACGCGCCGGCTCCACTGCGCATGACCAAGGAGGGGCACGCAGATCCCGCCAGTTCCTTCTGACCGCCGCCCAACAGCCTTCAAAGAAACAAGATGAAGGGCCGAGAGCAGAGGGGAAGGAGGGCGGGTGGTGTGAATGCACAGATGACCACTCGAAGATCACCAGTTACAGGTAAGCAACCTGTCTATCTTCTTCGTGGTCTCTGTGCATCACACCCTTGGGAGAATAGCAAGCAATAACTCTTACCTGGAGGAGGGGCCGAGGCCCTACATCTGCGCCGTCTGCAATATAGACCGACCCAACGCCACACGACGAGAAGACCGGACATCAAGGGCATAATGCTTCACGAAGGTGAGCGGAGTAGCCCAAGTCGCAGCGTTGCAGATGTCCTCCAACGGCATACCTCGCAGGAAAGCTGTGGAAGTTGCTACCGCCCTCGTAGAATGGGCGCGAAGCTGACCTGGAAGAGGTTTCTTAGCCAAAGCGTAGCATAGCTTGATCACCTCCACAATCCATCTCGACAGCCTCTGGGAAGAGATCTTCTTCCCTTGGGAGGGCATACTGTGAGCAACAAACAAAGCTGGAGACTGGCGAAAAGACTTAGTCCTGCCCAAATAGAACAACAACGCTCTCTTAACATCCAGAGAATGCAATTTCCGTTCCTCTTCATTAGCAGGAGACGGGAAAAATGATGGCAGAACTACATCTGAACGTAAATGAAATTCCGAAACAACTTTCGGTAAAAAGGAGATGTCCAAAGACAATGAAACCCCATGTGGGGAAAAACTTAAGTATGGTGGATCACACCTCAGAGCAGACAATTCGCTGACCCGACGAGCAGAGGTAATGGCCACCAAAAACGCAGTCTTGAGTGACAGCAATTTTAGAGAGCAAGTGGCCAATGGCTCGAAAGGTTTTCCCATCAAAAAACGCAAAACTAAAGCCAAATCCCAGGCCGGGGTTGGAGGACGACGGGGAGGGTACAGGCGAATAAGGCCTTTACAAAACTGTTTTGTCTGAGGATGCGAGAAAACTGAAAACCCATCAACAGATGGATGAAAAGCTGACACCGCAGCTAAATACACTTTAACCGACGAAAAACTGAGACCCAAGTCCATTCTGGACAAAATAAATGCAAAAATAGACCTCAAATCCACTGGCGGAGGAGGTAGATTTGAGGAATTCAAATACTGCAGGAATAGATTCCACTTCCTTGTGTAGGAAGTCCGAGTAGACAGTTTACGACAGTTCAACAAGACATCATTGATACGAGCGTCCATCACTGAAAGCGTATTTCCCACAGAGTCAGCTTGAGACTCAGAGGATCGTAGTGAAGGACCTGGCCCTCCTGAGCCTGGAGGAGATCCAACTCCTGCGGCAGGTGTACAAAGGATCCCTTGGCTAACCTCAACAGTGTCGGGAACCAAACTTGCCGAGGCCACCAGGGGGCTACTAGAAGACAATGGGGCTTGTCGAACTGGCGGGATCTGCGTGCCCCTCCTTGGTCATGCGCAGTGGAGCCGGCGCGTGACCTGGGAGAGGCGCGAAAATCCCTTTTGCTAGCTACCGGTACCGAGAAGGTCAGCGCAGGCGCAGTATATCCCAAGGGTGTGATGCACAGAGACCACGAAGAAGATCATTACCTTCTGCAGTCTGGAAATAAACGAAATAATTATGTACCATACAACACTGTAACTAGGGGCAAAAGTATGCTGGTACAGAATAATTCGGGTACAAAAGAGGCCAAAGTGCAACTTCCCATCTTCAATTTCAAGCTTTCTGACAGATGGTCCCATTAAGAGATCTAAGATATGATCATTACCTTCTGCAGTCTGGAAATAAACGAAATAATTATGTACCATACAACACTGTAACTAGGGGCAAAAGTATGCTGGTACAGGATAATTCAGGTACAAAAGAGGCCAAAGTGCAACTTCCCATCTTCAATTTCAAGCTTTCTGACAGATGGTCCCATTAAGAGATCTAAGATATTTTCACTCCTGACTATAAGCATATTCATGTCAGTACATATTATTAACAAAGTGCCATTACGTTTGGGATAGTGGGCTTGTTTAACAAATATGATTTTGCCCTGTAATGCAGAGAACACAGCATTCTTCAGTATAAATTCAGTATTAAATAGTTAACTGTCTCATTTTAAAACTGGATGTCTGCATGTGGAACCTGGGTGTTCCAAACTTTTGGAAAGGGCAATAAAGGGTTGGAGCACACTCCACATCCATCAGTCCCCCCCCCCCAGCAAAAGCTTCAGACAGGGCTTATGCATATGTGATTTGCTCAAGCTACTGTCCTTTGCCTTCATCTGCTGGACAGGAAAATGACCACAAGGAGATGAAAAGAAGCTTAACCCTCCACTTTTCATGGAAGTAATTAACACATGTTGAGACTTGGGCTATGTGAGAGCTTGTACTTTGTCTGAGCACAGTTCTTTTCCTCCCCCCAACTCCAAAACAATGGTCACTCCAGGGACAAAGGGGGACCAAACCTCCCCTCCCCATGGAAACAGTCTTGGGTAGTGGTGGGAGAGAACCCAGCTCCATCCTTGAGCAGCTGATAAATTGCAGGGAAGAAGGAATGGGACAATGACATCATAACAACCCAGATCACATTCCTTCCTTCCTCCCTAACTCCATCACCATGAGCTTGCACATGATCACTCACCTGATTACATGTATTGATGTCTATTCCTCCCTTTAGGTATTCCACCACTTTGTCCAGATTGCCAGCTCGGGCAGCTCTGAGGAAGCTTGCATTGCTGTCAGACTGTGAAAAGAAAGTGAAAGGAAATCATTTAATGTCTGCCTTTAAGGTAGATATGACCAAAAGAAAAGCCTACGTACTTCTGTTATAGAGACTTAAAACAACTGACACGGTTTGTCAGGCACCTCTCACCTAAAGGCAGTGCAGAAATGCAAGAATTCCTCTGCCATGTGTTCATATAACTTCTTGTGAAGGCGATCATCAAACACTCCCCCCAAGGTATGAGAAAAATTCTGCCACACATCAACACCTATCTGTCATCCAAGTAAGCAAGGAAATGTTAATGTTAAAAGAAGAAGACTCATGCACACCGTAATAAAAGTGGTCACATGCACACTATCATAAATTACAGTTTGGGACACTTTTTAAATTAATCACCTAAAGCACAAAGGAAGCAAAACTGTTGTCTTAAATATCAGAGATATATGGATAAAGATCTGGGCTGGTTATTACAGATGGATCCATTGAATTCCTAGCTCCCCCACCGCACTTTTACTTTTAACAGTGCAGTCATATGCACAGTGACATTCCAGTCTAAATTCATTCATTCATTTCAATGGGCTGGAGTAACTTTACACTGTATTGCACTGTAAAGCTGCTTGGACTGCTGTCCTCAGGCATTTTCAATACCTTACCCTAGAGTGGCCCATACTAGCCTGATCTTATCAGATCCTAGAACCTTTGCAGGGTTGGCTCTGGTTACTATTTGGATGGGAGACCACCAGGGAACACTAGGGTTGCTACACAGGGGCAGTCAGCGGCAAACCACCTCTGAATGTCTCTTGCCTTGAAAACCCTATAAGGCCACCATCAGTTGACTCAGGCCTGTAGCCAGGATTTTGTAATTCAGGGGGCCTTTAAATAAGTCGGGAGGCACTAATATCACAAAATTAATTTTTTTTAAAAAACTCACTTTTGTGGCATTCACACTCTGCTTGCCTACATGGGGAAGCAAGCCATGCTTGGGGAAGGGGCAGCAGTGGGGAGTCCTCCAGGCAGCTCACAGAGTTGGAAGTCCTCTGGGAGGCCCAGAGAGCCAAGGTTGGGGGGCTGGGGGCTGGATGGAAGTCAGGGGGCCTTGACAGGAAGTCAGGGGGCCAGGCCCCGAAATGCCCTACTGTGGCTACAGGCCTGAGTTGACTGCAACTTCACACACACACAGCCAAAAAAGGACCAAGACTGAGTCAACCGCACACAGTCCCACTTTGAGACTTTAGCTAGGCTTTCTTCCACATCCTGCTCCTGCCAGCCCTCTCTTGCTCAGCTCTCTGTCTCCTCTACATCCTTCAGTTCCAAGTGCCACAGAAAGCTTCCTGCCTATTTTCTCTCTTTTCTTTCAGCCATTTTAATCACCCCTGTGCCTTTAGTATTCTTCTTTCCTCGGCCTCCTTGTACTCTGTTCACATGACCCTCAGTTCCCTTACTTCTGTACCCTTTCTGCCTACAACCCCTCCCACAGTGTGTGAGAGATTATTTACAATCTGACCTTTTACTTCTTCAACAGAGCTGCACATTGTGGGGTGGTCCCTTCTTACTCAGCCATCACAATGTCCATCTGTTCTGTTTAGCCAATGGCTTACAACATTTCAAAGTGATTATTATTGGGGGGAAACCTCCAAAATAACTGTTTGATGGATAATGTGAACATCCAAAAGATGTGATTGGTCATATATATGGCATCTTAGAATGATAATCCTTCTATTTTTTCTCTCTCCAGAAAATTGATTTGGTATTTCAGCAGCCTAAGGGAATTTTCATTACTGTGGCCCAATCTCTGCATCTTTATAATACAGCAATACACATTGATATGCAAGTAGATTTTGATTGGTCATATATATGGCATCTTAGAATGATAATCCTTCTATTTTTTCTCTCTCCAGAAAATTGATTTGGTATTTCAATAGCCTAAGGGAATCTTCATTACTGTGACCCAATCTCTGCATCTTTATAATACAGCAATACACATTGATATGCAAGTAGATTTACAAGCCCCCACCTTATGTATCTTGCCAATTAATAGAGCTTACTGCAGAGAGGGAAACAGGAATGGCACTGCTAAGGGAGTTAAATAGTGTGATTATATAAGAATGGTGGAAGGTACATCAGACAAAGTAACTGAGACCCAGTGAAATATAGTGGTGACCAGGATGCAGGTCCCCCA